CGCCGCCCCTGAGCCTCTGGCCTGTACCCCAGTTCTGTATGCACAAATAAATAAATCTTAAAAAAAAAAAAAATTTAACTCGGTGGATCCAGTCGCAAAACCTCGCTCGTATGTTCAGGGCTGCAGGTTGGATGGGTTCGTAGAAGCCTCAGTCCTGTGCCATGGAGATGCTCTCAGCAGTGCAGCATAAACAGTGTAAGCGTATCAGTGACAAGCCCGAGTAAATACTACAGGAAAATATGCCTAGCTGTGTGTTAGCACCAGTCAGGAAGCAAAAGTGGAGCTGGGCCAAAATCGTGGAACTATATCTGTCAACGCTCTAGATTGTTCATTCTAGATTGTTCATTTGTACATAGTGTCCATCTAGACAGACAACTAAATGTAAGTGGCATGCAGTTTCTGTTTGAGTGACTTCTATGATTTCTGTTCACCACAATCAGATTCTTCAGATGTTCTCTTTCTATGCTGACGTTGACTTCTTGCGTACCAGAAACTTAATAGGGCAGTGGGTGAGCCTGACCAAAAAAATGCGCTGAGAAGCAACATTATACCTGGTAACAAAGGCTCAGACGCCTAAAAAAGAAAGAGAGCAACCCAAATCCTGGACCACCTGGCCAGCTTACTGTACCTGAGGGGCCCAGCACCTCGCAGAGGCACGACCTGCCCTGTGCTACTGATTCTTAGCAGACATCATTGTACATCAATCTGAAACGCCTTTGCTTCAGTCGCTGTCATTTAAAGCAGTGTATTCTTGCCCCTTGCAGTTCTCGTAGCTGCACTTTTATTATGAAAAATTTCTAACATAGACAAAGTTGAGTGGAGAGGGAGAACCATGGACTATAGTGGAGAATTCTGTGCCTCAGTGGTGGGTGAGGTGTGTCCACACACCTGTACCTGTGCACCTTATACCTTATAAGCACCTTATACCAGTGCAGCCTTAAACATGGGTGGAGGGGGGGGTGGCCAGTTGCGGTTGCAGGCAAGAGTTTAGGGGTAAGAGTCCCTCACTTTTTTACAGTCCTGAGAATCCATCCACACATTTTTTGAGTACGTACTGCCTGTCACCCAAATGAGGCTGACACGTAGCGGTCGCCGGCCTGTTCGTCTTCTTCCGTTTGTTTACAGTCCTGCCACCCAGTTCTCTTGTATGATTCCTACTGTTTTCTCCCTCCTTGTTCTGTCAAACTTCTGCTTTCCAGCACTTTTGTGTTACCTCCTCCTTCCCATCAAAATGAAAGCCTAAAGAAGTTTCCCTGGAGATGCAAAGGAGGAAAGAAAGCGCATCTGTTTTTGTCTTTACATCCCCAGTGTCTGACACAGTGTCAGAATATTCATGCTTTCAATAATTCAGTGAATCACTGAAGTAAAATGAACGACGGTGGGTGACATATAGAATACGGTGGGTGTTATAAATGGGGGTGGTTGTGGGCGACCACGTGGAGGGAGGTGACGTCGCCATGTGAGGGACAAGATACCAAGGTAAATGAGATCTAGGAGAGGAGGGTGATGAGTTCGTTTTGTTCACTAAGTCAAGAGTTGGCTCTGACGCAGTTGAGGTACTTCATTAGCCAAATGTTCAATGTTTGGAAAGTTATTTGTAGTGTGCTTCCCAGGATATATTGGGACTTCGCCCCTTTCTGATTTATCTTAAGTTGACTCATATAGCTCTACATGAACAGAAAATTATAACTATTAACTTCTGTTTATAGTACTGGAGAATTAAAAATACTATCAAGGGAATGAGACTGGAGGTATTAAAAAAGGAAATCAAAAAGAAGACACGCGTCGTAAAAAGACTTAGCGCCCTTTCGTTCTTTGGATTATATTTTCACCTGATCGTTTGCTTTCAGTGTGTATTCGACTGTGATCTAAGCATCTGTGGTCATTTGTAATTATATTCTTGTATATAGTTTCAGTTGACAACCTAATTTGCTCTTACGGCAATACAGGTTTTCATAATATAATAACAAAATAGCCACTTAAATAAATCTTGTTCCCCTGCTATTAAAAACTTGATCTGTCTTTTCACTGGGCTCTGTGCTAAACAATTAAAATCTCCCCTCTTCACACTCTAGAAATTGCCACGTGTACCTCTTTCACCATTCTGTATTTTCTTTTCATTCTTTTCGTGCAGAAGCAGGAATGTCCTAGATGTTGTTACAACAATTCTAGGTTTTCAAATTCCAAGTTATGTAAAATACTTACTTATGCATTGTACTGCATTTGAACCAGAATTAAATAAAATGTTCATGTGTGGTATTTTGACAACCACAGTCCATTTCCAGGGGGAAAAAAACAGTATCACTTAAAATATTTTCTTTACCATGTTGGTCTTCAGCAAGCAGCGAAGGGCTTTTCTGAAGTAAGATTAGACAATAGAGCCAACTTCATTTTTTATGCACGTGAACAGAGAGGGCTTGAGGTTATTAGTTGAAACCGAGTAACCTTTCCAGGCTTTCATCTCTTTCTTTTCAAATTTGAATATGAAAAGCATATTCAAGTCAAAGACCATCACTTTAATGACATTTGGCAGTCATTTGATTTATTAGGTTTTAGAAAAAATTTTCCTTTAAATATTTCATCATACTATGCTAATCCTAGTAATATTGCCAGCTGCCGCCTGTACCTGTATTAGTGGGGACAGAATGGTGTGGAATTTTCTCTGTCATCCTAGTAAAATTTCCATGAATCTACTGAATAATAAAATAACCTTATTGAAATATTCAGATCTGGGGTTTTAAAGTGTCTTAGAATACATAATAAAAGAAAATGTCTTTTGAAAGAAGAGGGTAAAATTACTTCATCAAATATTGAGGGGGTTTGACAGCAGTGAAAATTGTTCTTTATGGGAGTATTTTTACAATAAAATACTTATGCTTTTCAATATGATTAATTATATTATATACTTTGAAATAGCCAAGTAATCACTATGGTGAATTTGCACACTGATTTATATTTAACAATGAATTCCTAAAAGTTGGTCATCTAAGCAAGTTTGTTTTCGTTATTATTTAAAGTTACATAATGTACTCTGGATTTCATAAGGAGGGGTTTCGTAAAGGGGAATACAAGACAAATTGAAAAATTATGAAAACAAACACATAAGCAACTGCCTTGCTTATGATCTAACTTTTAAGACATAGTCTATTTTAATTTGTATTAAATCACTGCTCAGAAAGACATCTGTGACTCTCATGTCTGTAACACTAAAATCTTTTACGTAGGATTGAAGTGACAATTATACAAATACATTTTTAGTTCCTAATTCTAGCAAAATTAGATTTTTTAAATTTCAAGAAAATGTTAAATTAGATAACAATTTTGTTTCTGTTTGAAAACATTACTTACTGAATGAAATGTTATGACAAGATATAATAAGAGAATGAATTACGGTTTCTGCTCTTGTTAATAAGGATTCATATGACTACATATATTAGCATAATAACTACATTCAACAGGCTTTGATCTCTGAATAACTGGAACTTTTTCAGGTACTGTAGATTAAATAAAAGCAGTGATAAACATGTACTTCATTACATTGTTTGAAACAAGGCCAACTGATACTTGTCGTTCGGAAACCAATCTTAGATGAAGATCTCATAATCTTTGCTCCGGATAGACTACTCGTGGGGTATTTATAGCCTCCAATATAAATCAGGAGAGTATTGCCATGACTCTGTTAACTTTAAACCCTGGGGCATAAGAATCTCATTCTTTGTGTGTGTGTGTGTCGTGAATAATCTATCATATGTAACTACACAGTAGTGTACAGTACGTTCCAAAAAGAAACCCACTGGCCTTCATGTTTTATTTAAAATGGATAGTGGGAAAGAGTAAAGGATTTCTTATTTGTTTCTCTGTTGTTTTCCATTTTTGCTCGTTAAACAGCCCTCCGAAAAAATAAGGATTGAGATCATCGCTCTAAGCCTGAACAGCTCCAGAATAACCGCGGACAACACTATCCAACGGCTGTTTGTCGAGTGCCGGTTCTACAGTCTTCCTGCTGAAGAGACACCGGTGTCGTTGCCCAAGCCCAAGAATGGGCAGTGGGTGTACTATAACTACAGCAATGGTAGGTGCCAGTCACGTCAACACACACTTTTATTTTTGTCTCTATCGATAAAGGAACAAGGAAAAGTATAATTCTCTAGTGTTCGCATAAAACCATGGAAGCCTTGACAGCAGAATCAAGAAGGATTAAGAAATTAAAATGAAAAGAGGATGAATGAGGAAACAAAGAGGGAGGGAAAGCAATGTTTCTCAGTGTCCTGCTGTATCACAGGATCAATAGAATTGAATTTGGAAAAAATGGGATATTTCACGGGGGAGTCCTAAGTTTTCCTACCTTCCGATCACTGACTTCACATAGGTATTTCTACAGTATGTGTGTATGTGTCCACGTTCAGGACATTAATTGAGGGACATGTATTCTTAAAAGACCATGTCATCATTTACTACTCACTTTCACTCATAACAACAGGCAGGCTTTCTCGTTTCAGGCTTTATCTTTGCCTCATTTGACATGTAACTCTACTGGATCAGGACAGACCCAGTATACACCCTGTACGTTCTTAGATCAACCAACATTAAGGTGGTTTTTAAGTACAGTTAGAAAGGAGGGAGACTAGCCAATTAACTGCCATGAGCCTACCTTAAAACTGCTTATGACGTTCTCCTAAACTCACATATTAAACCAAACCATAAAAAGGGAGTGTTGTATTATTTGGAGCAAAGCAGGCTCTCTCATGCTAATTGGGCAACATTTTTTTTTTCATCAGCTTTATAAGTTACAATTTTATTAACATATTTACTCACACAGTTGTATTAGCAGAATCACAACAAATGCTGGCGGTTAGTTTTTGGATGGTTTTGTTGTTGTTGTTGTTTATAATATGCATCATTAGAAAACTGTTTATTACTGGAGACAGTGATCGTGAGTATCCGGGTACTTGGTCTAATCCAAAGAGCTGTATCGTCAGCTCTTACTAGCTATGGGAACTTGGCCAAGATATTTCAGTTTCATGATGCTGTGTTTTCTTATCCATTGAACAAGTTGCTCTGTAAGCTTCCTTCAGATTCTGTAATTCTGCAGTAATAGGCAGGTTGAGAAATCACATGTGAAATCAGTAGTGTGGTCAAGACTAGAAGCCTTTCATTGTCTTGATGTAACAGAAACGTTTTCAAAAATATTTTCTCAAGCTTCCTAGAGACCTTTTAACTGCAAAGTACCAGAAAAGTAAACCATATCAAAATATCAGTAGTAAAGAAAGAACTGTTTAGTCAACTTCCTTTAATGAAGATTCCCCAAAAAACACACTCTTCTGGCTCGTATATTCTTTGGAAAGGTCAGCAGTAGAATGTTTGGTTGGGTTGGCAACAAAATTGTTTTTTAGAAGTTGATTAAACATTGAGAAATTTGGCCCTTGCAGAAGAACAGCTGTTTCCATTTGCTTAAGGAGCACTGCAGAGTCTTCTCTGGACGGGACCAGTGGTACATGCTCAAGCGTCCCAAGGTGTGCACACTCTCACATGGTCACCTGCATCTCTTTAGGACTGTTGGTTGCGTGGCTGACATGGGTTTTTGCATTGGTTTTCTTGTTTGTTTGTTTGTTTTAAGATTTATTTATTATTTATTCATACAGAACTGGAGTAAAGGCCAGCGATGCAGAGAGTGAGAGGATTCACCAGGGACAGAGTGGGGAGCAGAACAGGCAGATCAAGGCAGATCAGGCAGATCAGAACACTGCTGAGGGGAGCAGCGGGCGGGTCAGGAGGGGTCTGCCACACCATGTGGTCACCTCCGGCGGGAATCGAACTTAATGCTTATGCGGAAGTGGCTTAAGCTTCTTAGTGATGTGCTTTAACCCGCTGTGACATCAGGGAGGGCCCTGCGTTGGGTTTTTTTCCCCTTTTACTGCAAAAAAAAACCATACTGGTTGATATCTTAAGCATTGTTTGCATTTGTATTGAATTAACCATTTGATACCAACAAGTAAACTTGTATCTCTATATCACCCTTCTTCAACTTCTGTCCCTAACTATGGAGACTTGACTAGAGTCAAGATTAATTAAAAAGAATGTTAAGTATACTTGTTTGGAAAGAGGGGAGAATGTGCTTTGTATTTAGAAGTATTGTATCTACTATACAGGAAGAAATTCTAGGTTGTCACCATATTTGAGGAATAATATTAACCTTTTAAAAGGTTCTATTTTATTTTTCAATTAAGTGTAACATGATAGAAGTGTTTATTCTAAAGTGACTATATTTGCATATCCTTCCTAGCATGGAAACCTCCTTGAATTTTTAGCTAATAAGTAACTACCTCATCTAATATTGCCATGATTTGCTGTTCACTTGTTACTTGATATAAATGTCAATATAATGTAGTCTTACATCTTCCAAATGTTATTAAATGTTAATGAAATTAATTTTACTTCCAAACTGACTTTTTCATTTGGATAGAAAATTTAGAGGACTCTGCGCGCAGGCTAGACTATATTCAAACAACTCAGCAGCCGAGAGGCTGACAGAACCTCCGGATGACTGTTACCCTCTGTTAGGGCTTGAATCTATTCAGAAGGGATTTGTATGCTGAGACCTAAGTTAGGTACATAAAATGAAAGATTTAGACTGTGATCCCCAGGATTATTCATAAACTAATTCAGTCTTTCTTATTACCAATTTCACCTATACAGAAAATAACTGTAGGTGATAAAACTGACAAAGTTTAAATCACTTGCTAAACATTGGTAGCAAGATAGATATTTGCATTTCACTCTACTTGAAAATTTTGCTTGAAGAATGCTGAGAGAGCAAGAAATAGTTTGGAGAGAAATAAGATTAACGGTAAATCTAAAGAATGTTGTCTAGGGCTAAATAGTTTCTTCTAGGAAAGTAGAAAGAAAAAAAGATTAATGAATTCATCCCAAGTTTGTATGAGACTTACACAGATCTGGGCCCTTCATCTCTGAGGATTGAACAGTTTATCTTTTAAACAAAGTTAATTCAAAAGATGAAAAGGATACAGAACTTTCCATTTAGTTACTAATGAGAGGAGAAATTTGGTAAAGATAAGGATTAAGGAGATGATAATAATTCAACACAGAAGTTATCTGGAATTCAAGGTTTATCACCCTTTATAATTAAATCATCTGCATTTCTTCTGCCAAATTACATTAATAGAGAATAAGAGAGTTGCTCCAGCCTATGAGTGAGGGTGTTTTTCTAGTGGTAGAAAACTCAAGATCATCTCAAGTATTTGAACTACTAGTTTTGTTCTTTTTTGAGACGTGCAGTTAGTCAGTTTGTCAGAATCTAGCAAGCCCTAAACAAATGTGATTTCTGAGAATTTACGGTACATGGCTGAACTTTTTAGAGCGTTCTGATATTCCTCAGAGTTGCTTTTTAAAGGATATATTTGGCGTTCTGAAACCAATGCATATCTTTAGGAACTTGACCTAATTAGCTGTGGCCAAAATGTCCCTGTCTCCAACATGTTTCGACACAAGTGCTCACTCGGACCCAACCCCAGTGCAAAATGGAGCAAAGCAATGTTGGGCCAAAGATAGGTCTGTGTGTCAGCGGCGCCGAGGACATTTGCAAATGCTGTTTCTCAGGCCCCACTCCAGATCCGTCAGAAACTGGGTGCCTGGAACTCAGGGGCCTTGTAGACCTGCTAGGGATTCTGACACACGCTAAAGACTGCAAACCAGTGAGGAGCTAAGTCGCCCAACGCTGGCCCTGTGTAAGCAGGAGAGCTGTAGCTATCATTTGGCGCACCTTTGGAGAGCTAAGCTCATTCTGAGGTAGCTTGCAGTTTTTCCAAAAGCAGTGTTTACAGAGTGTTTCGCCAGGCCGTGGTGGTGCAAGAGTTGAAGTCTCAGCGGAATCAAGCCATAGCCAGCCACTGCGGAGTGACAGGGTGACCCACAGAAGACCTCTCCTGTCCCATCACTGCTCCCCTCAGCAGTGGATTTCAGTAGTTCCGCCTGTTCTGCTCCCCTCTCTGGTGAGTCCTCTCATCCCCCGCACCTCTGGCCTGTACCCCAGTTCTGGAGTGCATAAATAAATAAATCTTTCAGAAGTGTTCAGCCAAGAGAGTTGATGAAGGCATGCGGACCAGATATATCTACTCAGTATCCCCTTAGGAGAGAACGTAAGCATGGGCGTCCCAAAGGGCGTCTCTAGAGGCAGACACTGGTGGACCTCACCTTCCCCGGGTCTGTTTAATGTCACTAAAACGCCAGTCAAAATGATTCTTCCAATGCGGCTGCAGGAAGAAACGTGTTAAGCATGGGACTGCACCCGTATGAAGATCATGAGCAGTGGCTGTCACTGTTCTCGGGAAACATGACGCGTGACGTGCCAGATGGGAAACTGGCTGCGCCTCTCGCTTTTTCCCATTTTAAATGTAAAGTTTTGGGTTTTTGTTTTTTTTTTTTTAAGAGTCGCCACGTGACACAGGAATTTATGTCTGGGTGTATAACCAGCAGACTGGAAGCAGGGACTCGGGGATGTTGTTTATCAGGAACAAAGGCGGAGCAACCCAGAGAGCCACCGGGAGGCAAAGGGTCGCCCAGAATGGGGGGCCGGGGTGGGGTGCGGGGAGAGAGTGAAAGGAGAGCGAGGTGACTGGTCTTGACACACCTCTGGAATTCTCGCTCACACTTCACACTCCCGGGGAAACTACCCAGTCTTATTGTGAAACTCTGGTACGCGCCGTAGGGGAACCTTGCAAACATTATGGTAAGTGAAATGAGCCAGACACAGAAGGTGCTTCCACTGTGACGGGCGTCCCAAAATCTCAATTCCCAGAGACAGAAGGTGTCGGCAGAGCCCGAGGCGGGGAGCCGCGGAGCGGGGAGCCGGCACTCAGCCGGCCCAGGGTTTCCGTGTGGGCTGGCGAAAAAGCGCTAGAGGCGACGGCCGGGCGCTGCGTTCACGGAGCCGGCCCCCTAGCAGTGGCTTCCGTGGCACACTGCCTGCGAGGTGGTTCTTACCACGTTTTTTAAAAATTTAAGCTGGTGGGAGTCATCAGAACAGGTTCCGTGCGGTTGAAAGACTATTTGGATGCTGACCTTTGGCTTCAGTCTTTTTTTTGTCTTAAACCTCCGTGACTACCCGCAGGTCCCGACCCTGAACAAGCCTGTGTTGTGTATTTGGAAGTTGCTGAGACTTCTTAAACGTTCTCATCACAAGTAAATCATTTCTGAGCTGAGTCACTAGCGTTAGCTACATGTATCTGGGTAAACATTTTGGAGGATACACCACAGCAAACTGTTCTGTGACAGACCTGAAGTTTACATAATATTTTGTGTCAATTGTGTCTCAATATATAAGGAGGTGAAACTATCCCAGACAGAACAGAACAACTGTAGAACTCTGAAATCATTAAGCACCTTTTTAGCCTTGATCCGTGAAACACCGTATTCACAGAAACCTCTAAGCCCTTGGGAGCCTCAGTCACCTCTGTGGTCTGTCGCATTTACTACTGTGGCAACACACAGTGCCATTTCACCTTGTTCTCACTTCTCTGAAACCACTATGCCACCCCACAAGCAACTGTGCCCCCACCCCGTGTTCTAACTGGGCGCCCAGTGTGCTCAGGGAGACATTCTTTCTCAGCACGAAGTGTGTCTGTCCCAGGGCGGCCTGCCTTTAGCGTTATCGTGGTGTCACTCCCCTTCTGTGTACTTTTGACCAGGGAAGATTTCTAATATTGAGGCCCGGTCACAAGGGAGCCTTTGCCACCGAAGTGGCACCTGGGACAGAAACATCTGCAGAAACTGAGGCTGAGAAGCTGCTGAGCTGAGGGAAAAAGTCACCAGGACAAGAACTGGAGTGACCACCCGGGCGATGTCATTTCCCGACTGCACCCACTTACCTGAGCTTCAGGTGTTCCCCGTCTCCTTCCTGGTGGGGCGTCAGATCAGTTACCGCATCTCCTGTTGCAGCTCTGTCCTGAAGAGATTCTGGGCCTTTCTCCATGTCGCTCTCCCGGGCTCCCCACCCAGACACCAGCCCACGTCAGCTGGCGGGCTCCCTGCGTCCAGTCCACGAGATGCCTCTTTTATTGCACGCTGTGGCAGGAGAGAAGGATTAAATTACGGAGGCTGTCAGGAAGGACAAGCTCTCTGCCATACATTATCATTATCACTCGCTTCTTGGGTGAAGGAAAATGCACTAAATCCCTCAAAGACAAAGCAAGAAAGACCGCTGGCTTTAACTGTCATGACTGCTGCGCCATTAATCGGCAGTGACAGCGATGTGGCCGTCGTAGGTGTTGCCTGTATCTCCTCTGACAGTGTGCAGAGACCTGCAGGGGACAGACGTGACATCACATGACTGTTCAGATTTGATTCTGGTTTCCAGAGCTGCTTGCTTTTCCAGGCATCCAAGTGAGGTGGCATGATTTGTGTCTCTCGAAACGAGTATTTATACAAATGCAGAAGGCTCCACTGTTGCATATTCCTAAGTCACTTCCTCTTTTTTTTTTTTAATAGTGATCTACGTGGATAAAGAAAACAATCAAGCAAAGAGAGACATCCTAAAAGCCATACTGCAGAAACGAGAGATGCCTAACAGAAGGTACCGTGAAGTACTCCAGATTGTCTGATGGTTTATATGAACTAGATCTCGGTAGCAAGGTGTGGCCCGAGAGAAGGAATCAGAGCACCTGGCTTCTCTGGACACGGTGACCTTGAGTGACTGTATGACCTCCCTGGGTCTTTCTTCTAGAAATACAGAAGCCCTCCCTACCGCCAGACAGAGAGTAAACTGAGGCTCTAGAGCGCTTTGAAAACCAAAAGTCTACACAGTTGTCTATAAATTTCCCCAGCATTCAAGTGTGACTGGGTTTGCAGTGGCTGCAAAGAGGGTTTACTCTGGGGGCCAAAGCCTCAAGTGTAAATTCTCATCCCATCACTTAGTTAGCTGTTTGGCCACGTACTAACCACCGGGTGCATCACTTCCTTCATCTATAAGTAAAAGGGAGCTAATAATACCACACAGGGTTGTTGTGAGGATTATGTGAGATGCTGTATGTGAGATGGATAGACTAGTACCTGGCCAGCAGTAAGTGTGTAGTGTATTCTTGTTTTATTAATGTTAACATTATTTTAAATATCGGTAATTTCTTAGTATTTTTTTTTTGTGACAGCTTATCAGCTTTTTAGAAAAATTTTTACTTTGCGATCGTTGTTTAATAATTCATCACGTTATGTTATCTTCCGATTGCTTCCCTTTTTTTTTTTTTTTTTGGCAAGTTTAAATGGGATACTTTGCAATTCTGGTTCAGCAGATAAGTCATCCTCTTTCGAGAAGGAAAAAAGCCCAATCTAAGCAAGTCTGTGCGGTGTGCCCTGAGCTGCATTTCACCAGCTCCCCTTTGGCTCCTCCGGGGGACCCCTTAGCTCTCTCTTCCACTTCTCCTTGCCTGAGGCCCATCGATGACACAGCCTCTCACTGCCAACTCAGTTGGAAAGAGGCTCAACTTCCTTCTCTCCTGGCGTTGAGGAAGTCAGTGGTAAGCACGTCAGTGTTAGCTTCTGTGTCGAGAAAGGAGACGGGTTTCTTAGCTTCGGGGTCATGTAGTAGCCCCTTCCTTGCTTCCTGGGAATCCCTCGACCATGTCCCTGGACCACAGCACTGAAGACAGGGCAGCCAAGCCCTGTCATGAGCCTGTGGCTCTGCTTTCCGGGATGGCAGGTTTCATTCAGATTCGTGGTGTCACCTTGTGCATTTCAGTTTCTTTCGGGGTCCCCTCAAATACCGCCAGCCCCCTAGGGTTACCCGGTCCCTAGGACTGAGCATCTGCGTGTCTGTGGTCAGCTCTGTCCACAGACAGGCCCAGGTGCACGCTCAATGTTGCTTCCTCCAAAGTGTTTATTGTTAAAAAGACCAATCTGCTTTTATTAAGAGCAATCTTTTCTCAGAAGACATAGTAAAATAATTAAAAAAAAAAAAAAAACTCACAATCTCTGTAATGATTCCCACGCCATTATTTCTCTAGAAACTCTAAACACCCCAGACACACACGGTGCCACTTCTGAGACTGACCACTGACCACGAGAGGCACTGCAGGACGCGGGACCTCTGGGCCGTGGCCGCCGCCCCTCCCGGGGCTCCGGGCCTGGCCCTGACAACTGTGTTTTCTTCACAGGGAAAGGGCGTTTGCACCTACGTTTTTCCACAGCCAAAGACACTTGTTATTCCAGTGGATGTCCCCACCTTTTTGATCAGAAGTCATAGCGCATAAGGGATCTTCTCGTTTACAAAAGTTCATTTTCCGAGACAGCAGCCTTCCTGAACGTGTGGTGACTTCACAAAGCCACGTTGGAGAAGCGGGGCCCACCTTCCCAGACAGCCCCGCATAAGGGTCTTTATCTTGGAATCCAAGGTGGCGCCTCTGGCACCTGACCCAGCTACATACACAGATACACAACATTATTTTCTTGAAGTCAACATGAGGTTCTTTTTTGGCTCCATTTCGTCTCTTAACAACGCGCTGTGCATCAAATCCAACGTAACCATCAGAATCCCAGTATGCAAAACTCATGGGGTTCTTGTTTCATGTGAAAGCGGATGATTTTAGAATAAGGAAAGAATCCAAACTCATGTTCAATGAGTTAAGGAGTTTTTGTGCCATGGGAGGTCCTGAATAACACAAGTGAAGTTTCAGATCTAAACCTTGAGGCCCAGCATGCTCCACGAACACCCCCTACCCCCAGCCCTGGATAAGGACTAAGCCTCTCAGTTCACGTTTATTCAGCAAACACCTAGAATCCCTGCCCCTGTGCCGGGCACTGCTACAGCTGAACAAGGTGCGGTCTCCACACGCATGGAGCCTACACCCCACCAGGGAAGACAGGCAGTAGTAACAAGTCAGTGCACGAAGTGACCACCTATTACAAGGGACGCTAAAAGAGCGTTCAGTGGAAAATAACCGTGAAGCAAACAAAGGGGTGACAGGCTGGGAGCCCCCGTCAGTCAGAGGAGCGCAAGGAGCACTCCCACCCCAGCCCGGCGTGGGGAGTCCCAGGCCTGAGGGGGATGTAGAGGTGTGTGTCCAGGCCCGGCCCGGCAGGCCCTGGCCTCCACCAGAACGCTTGGCTGTCCCCACGGGTGTCTCCAGACCTCGGGGCACACTTTCCGCCTGTTCTGAGCGTGGAGAAGGCTGTGCCCCTTACGCCCGTGTGGGCTAGAGGGGAGGTGTATGGTGTGGCTGTGGATGGACAGCTTAGCCAGAGTATAGTTTGTGAGTGATTTTAGTGTGACTTCCTCCCTTTTTAGCTTAACTTGATAGCGTCTTACGTTTGTATTTACCATCTCATTTTTCTCTCTGTTATTTAAAGCTAGAACTAATACAGGTTGGTTTTGTTTTTGTTTTGTCTGTCTGTGTGTTTGTTTAATTTCTGCCCCTTCCCTTGGCATTTAGAAGGATCTTTTGGTTTCTTCTCAGGATTCCTATACTCAGTGAGAAGAGTAGTCTGAGTTCATACACATATGATCCTTGGAGATGAAACATTACATTTGGAGATGTATTAAATATTAAAATCTGTGTAGCCTTTATTTTTTCTGTCTTATGAATGTAAAATGTACCTTTTAACTCCTCCCAAGCACCTTGATTTTAGGACCATTTTCTTCCTCACCAGTCTTGTTTAAGTGAGTGATGTAGACGTATAATTTGGCCATCAAAGTTTTCCATTGAAACAGGGCTACATTTCTCAACCACTACAGACAGACATTTCAGTGTCTCTACCTAGATGTAAAATAGCCATAATAGCACTGACCCGGTGTGGGCTGCGTCCCTGGCACGTCTCTGAGCCATCTCATTTGGCCCTTGTAGGAGCCTTCTGAGGTAGTTATGGTTATCCCCATTCTGTAGATAAGGAAGCTGAGATCAGAGAGGTTCAGTAGTAAATCCAAGGTCACACAGCAGATAAGTAGGAAAGCAGAAATTTGAACCCAGAATGGAGGCCCTTCACCGTTCCATCTTAACCCCTTTTATGTATCGTAAGAATACCCGATTTATTCATTGCCAGACTTCTCTTCCTAATTATTAAAACTGATTTCAACTTAAGGGACTTCTGTTTGCCGATTTAAGTGTATTTCTCAGTAAAATTGGGTACTTTGTAAAGGAATAAAATGTTGGCTTTGTGTACGTACAAGCATTGGAAAGAAGCTTATCTGTGTTTTTCAAGGCATGATTTCTCTGAGACTTGGTGTATTATCTTAAAAACATTATCTAAAAAACAAGTTTCTCGTTTTGTTCCTGTTTGGGGATGGACACATTTTGGCAGTGGTTAAAGTGGTAGTTCACGAATACCCATGGTTTGAGCTCTGCTGCCAAGACCTATCAAAAGAGCACTTCACTGTAAATTCCTGTCATTTGGTCAATCCAAGTGTGTTTGGCTGCAACACAAGCCACTAATTCAAATCAGTTCCATCAGGACCCTATAATTATGTGTCTAAAAGTAAAATAAAACTTGGATGCTATGATTGTAAGTTAGAAGATTGCTGAAGTAATGCAAACAGTTCGCATAGCTGTCGGGCAGAGCTACAACACTTACCTAACATGGTTCAGAGCATCCCCGGAGCGGAGCCAGGCATGTGTAGAACATACCGCCGGTTCAGGCGCTCAGCTCAAGTGCTTCCACAGTTGTTCGCTTCTTTCGAAAATGCTGCCTTAACCCCCACACTCTCTACTCGCTTCATCCTCTTCGTCTGAAAAGTAGATGTGTCAAAATGGGACCAGTTAGTGTACATTAGAGTGAACATCTGGTTCTCCGGGCCCGGTCATCTTCTCTGATTCTCAAGATAATGTCAATCGCCATGCTCGGGAGAGTGGATTAACGTTCATTGGAAGGCTGGGTGTGCTACAGTAATTCTAACCGTTCATGTAATAACTTATCAAACCTCAGATAATTTTCTTCTTATTGAGGTTGTCGGAAACTTCGACTTCATACTTAGCAGTAAAACTTCGGGAGTTTTCTTTGACGGTGGCTTTTCACTCACTTGGGGCGATTTTGTCTGTTCTTCCCCATCTCAGCATTCGCTTCACCGTGGTCAGTGACCCTCCAGAGGACGAGCAGGACCTGGAGTGCGAGGACGTTGGCATCGCCAGCGTCGACCTGGCTGAGCTGTTCCAGGAGGGGAGAGACATCATTGAGCAAGATGTGGACGGTGCGTGTGGAGACCAGGCCGCGAGGACAGCCTGCGCTCCCTGCTGAACCCCGGGATCCCCGTGAAACCTCTTTTTTTTTTTGCTGGCTGCTTGTGTTCTGAATCCTTGCAGCTCAAGCTGATGTCTTGCTGAAAGCTTCCCCCCATCGTGTTTTGCCCTTGTCCTCTGCCTTCCCCTGAATCAACAGAAATTTTTAAATAATTGAGTTTCCCCAAAAAGTATTCCTTTCATTAGTATTGGCGGGGAGGATGATAAAAATCTGGCCACGGGATCGTTGTAATGCTGCTACAGAGGCCGCCCGCCTTGAGCCCGACCCCAGCCAGCTGTGCTGTTCCCAGGCGCCTCTACAGGCGCTGTTAGGCTTCTCTTTGCCTCAGAAGCCCCAGTCCATGACATGGCCGCCGTGAGTAATTCTGGGTAGTTTGGTCACCTGTAACTGGGGGGAGATAAGGAATTCCTGACAACGTCCTTTGACTGGATTTTCACATCACCAAGCGTGATTCCCAGCAGTGCGTCAGTCAGTTCTCCGTCTTCATATGTGACGCATTTAGAGCACGCTGGGGGATTATGTTTTATGCATCGGACTTCTTAAAATTGGCAGGGGTGCCCTGGGCGTCTGTCAAAAGTGGAGAACTGAGGCTGAGTCCCACTCTCCTTTGTGAAGGGAGCAGAGCTGCTGAGCTTGTCTTGGGGAGTCATTTGTCCCTGCGTGAAACAAACGCTTGGTGTAGCGCCTCTGGGCCCTTGCTGTAGCCCAGCCACGGTCTGTGGGCGAGTAGGCCGCTTGGCCTGGCTGTGGCCCTGGTTCTCAAAAGTCAGGGTCTAACCAGAGGAGACCAAACAGCCCACTCAGAAACCTGTCCTGGGAAATCTTTAGAGACTGTGCATAGCCAGCACATGGTCATAGTTTTGGCAGGCACAGAATAAAAAGATGGAAGGATGCAAGTATGAGCCTACACCCTGTTGAAGGCACCACGAGAGTCTGACAAAAGTGGCCAGCGTGACCCGTGCTGTCCACTCTAGCCTAACCCGTTGTTCCCAGTCAGCTCTGTGCCACAGCCGTGGCCCCACTCTGTGAGGCCACGTGTGGCCCCACTGCTGTGACGCGGGCAGTGGTGGTGGCCCTGTGGCGGGGTTAAAGAAAAAGACCAAGCGCTAAGAATCTTAGTGCTGTGCTCTGTGCCGCAAGAATGAGAAGTCCCAAGGAGGGAGGCACTCAAGGGTGTGAGGGGCACCACTGGCCCCACCTTCACCCTGCCTGCTCGTGTCCTCCACCTAAGTGGCCAGTTTGATTCGAAATTTTCTTTACAAATTATCTGAGAATTAAACACAGATTCACACATTAAAAGTTCAGGATAAAAAGAAAGGCAGATAAACAGGAAATCTATAGACTTATCAATGCTGTCCCGGATTCGGGCCTGGACGCCCCAGCCAGCGACTTGGCCCACAGAGGGCTGGGCCCCCAGGCGCCGAGTCAGCGCCCCTCCTGGCCCCCCCAGAGGAGGCCCCGGGGGCGTCACGCAGTCCGCCCGTGAGACGCCTCAGGGAGTTGTGCCCTCCTCTGGCCCCAGCCTCCCTCCCGGACAAGCATCGCGCGGTGTCAGCTTTCCCCAGGTTCCCGCTCATAGACCTTCAGGGCCCGTCCACAGACCTTCAGCATTTCTCACTTCACGTATAATCTATTTTAAGTGGAATGTTTTCCTTAGAGAGATGGCGAAGCAATCCATCCAAATTACGATCATGCTCTTCACGGCGGTTTGCCCTCCTGAAATGTGTTATTACTGTGCCTTCGACAAGTTCTTTGTCATAACTTGATCTCTGTAGGCTTTTCATTCCTTACGCGCTCACAAATGCTGGTTCCGCCAGGGCATCGTAGAGCCTGAGTCAGCGTGAGGACGGGAGGAGCAACACGCCAGACTTGACTTTATAGATCCCAGCGACGCCGGCGAACCCCAGGCTTCCAAGAGATTATTTTCATCTCTGCCACCGCTGCCTCACCCACCCTACCTGAAGACAAGTCTGTGGAGTGAGGGTAACACCTTTCTTCTATTTTGCAGTGTTCGACGCGCGCGCGGGTGGAGAAACGATTGGCCAGCTGCGCATAACCGTGCAAGCGCTTCAGGCCCTGCGGTCTGTGGACGAGGCCTGCAGAGGCGGCGAGGAGGCTTGAAGGACACTGCCCCAGAGGCGACTCCTGCTCCTAGTAAATGTTCCCGGAAAGCTCTTAGATGAGGTTTTTGTCCATAACCAATCATTCACGGGAGGCTGGGGGCGGAAGGCCCGGGTGGGAAGTGTTCAGGTTTGGGGAGCCGTCTTCATTTGCTTATTTTTCTACTCCCTCCTTCCCGTGCCGGCCACCCTCAGGACCAAATTTCTGCCCACTGGGCAACAGCTTCTCAGTAATGTACAGCTACCTGATAGCATGAGAACACCGTCCGCATTTTCAACATTTTCTTATGAAGACCTGATATGCAGCTCCCATTTTTATTTTTAATAAGCAACAAACATAAATCTTACCAAACCTAAGAAAAAGAAGTATTTTGCTGTTATCCCTAATCGCCCCGCTAAATGGAATGCTATGATTAGCCTCATTACGAGTTTTGTACTGTGAAGATTTTATTAGAAGCAATATATGAAAATTACTTGGATTAATGTGCTAATCTTCCTCTTTAAAATGCTAATACCCATTTTATGCACATTAAAGCTCAGTGTGCATTTTCTTTGATGCATGCAGTTTCTATCAATTAAATATAAGAATGAGACTTGGAAGCAACTTATTAAATTACTGCAAGTTTTTTGGCTTGTTTTTTTCCTTAAAAGTTACAGCTATTACTATTGGTATTATTTTTGTGTATTTGTAATGGTGCTGTTGGCTCAGGGATGTATGTGTACAGAGAGACGCGCGCGAGCGTGTGTGTCTGTGTACACACACACACATACACACACAGAAATTTGTCCTCTGAAAGCTTAGCTTGTGACACAGAAAGAAATTATTTAAAGTATGGCTCAAATTCTGATACGCTTAGTTAGACCTGAAAAGAGTATCTTTTTATCGTTTTTAAAATTTACATCAGGCTTGTACAATACTGGAGTGTATCTGGATAACCATTCCTCAAAAAGCAGCTCAGAAAGTTAATTTTCTAGCTTTTACCCAATCTCACTGAAGGATTTAATTGATATTTTTAATGGAGCTGTGAATCAGTGCTGCAAAGGAATTGTCTCTAGAGGTCTAGGATATAATGCATTTCATTTTTTAATTTACTTTTTTATTTGTCATTTTCTTCAAAGGATTTTTATAGGCTGTGGGTTTTCACTGTTTGCAAACAGGCTATGTTCCTTCTTAAGCATATGTAAAGTATTCAGGGAGATAAGTAATTTATTAAAATCTACCTAATTTGCCGTGATATATTAAATCTCTGCTTCAGTGATCACAGACCATTTGATTTAGAGAATTAGGCATTCCCTCTTTGTGTGATTAAAGCTCTGGAAAATGAGTTCTTTGCTCCTATTTGTGAACATTCAAAGCCTGCTAATGGCAAGAAGATGGAATAGATTATGAGACAATTCATTACAGTTCAACAGGGGAAAAAAAGCAGCTATAATGCAAAAATGCAAGTATGAATATCTGCATATAGTTTGAACCATCTGTGCTCTAATGGCTTCAATAATGACTCTCGTCTTTAGGAGGCTTTGAAATGACATCCGTACACTATTAATTTGTTGATGTACATTGTGGGACCGGTAGAGTATGATCTGACCGCAGAAATCTATCAATTCCGTCTCTGCCATCGGGCCTTGCTGTCTGGGGCCTGCCATCTCCACGAAGAACCTTGCTCTCATCAAACTCTGCAAATCTTCATAACAGCTCATTCCTCTGGAACCTTCTCGAGACCACAAACATCTGCAGACTAAACCTCTCCAATCCTAGTAAACAGCCACATGTTTGCTGTCACTTCAGCTGGCTCTGACCTCATCTTTTGGGCCTCTCTTTCTAGCTTTCTTTGGCTTTATGCAGCTACAGTGTCATTAAGGCCCATAATATTCCCTGAAGTAATTTAAAACAGCCGGATTATACCCTGGGATTAGCTGAGTGGTTTTTGAGACATTTATTGTGGTACTCTTCCCAGGAGGTTTGTATTATTGTTTTAAAACGTTACATCCCAAACTAAAGACCCTCTCTGCTAGGAGAAGGCCCGGATTGTGCCGGCTCCCTGTGATCTTTAAATGGAGAGGGGAAGTTTTTATTAGACAACTTCTGAGTTTTAGTCAACTGTGTGGAATGTATACCTCAGATAAGATGAGAGAACGAACCATGTTTCTGTCACATTTGTGTACATCACCAGAATTAAAGATTCCTCCTCTAGTTTTAAAGCGCTCAGCTTGTAAACGATGTAAGTCTTCACAGAGCTCATTTTTAAAGGTAACTGAATAACCACTGACATGCTTTGAGGTGCGTAAGTGGCGCTGAATGCTGTCATCTGGATGCCTCAAGTGGATTTCGTAATCTGTCCGAGGACAATTTCTTGTTTTTCGCCTGCGTTCACCAGGGCTCACTGACAAGGTCGCCACCTTTTGGATTTACAGAGCAGGGGTTTTCTCCGGGTGAGCCAAGCCTGACACGTTAAATGAGGCTTGGGGGGGCCGAAGGGCACCCACAAAGGCCTCGCCGCACAAAGGCACCCCTTTAAGGTACCGCCGCCGGTGTGATCTTAGGGCTCTGGGCGGGGAGCCTTCCCGGACACTCAGCACTTTTTGAGGGCTGTGATGCTTGGAGTTGGGAAATATAAATAGAGACGTGATGTGGTGTGTGGAAGAGTGTATTTTACATGTTTTTTGCCTACTGTAGTAGAAATGTCAAATTCCCAGCCACTGTCATGAGAAGCAGTTGACAAAAATAAGTTTTATGGTTTACAGTGTGGTTTACGTAGAGAACATTTCTCTTCACTCTCAGTTTCAACATGTTTTCCGAATTATCATGGTTTATTGCCGTTTAACTTAAATTAGTGTTTTTTTAGAATAAATAGAGAATATATTTAATCAAATAAAGAACAGCCACACTGAGATTCTGCTGCCGCTGCCATTCATTTGTTACCACAAAACACAAATAATTTCTGTGTGCAGTGAAGAAGCGTGGGCCGAGCGCGGCCCTGGGGCCGGGGGCTCAGCGTGCACCCACGTTCCCACAGCCAAACGTAAATTATTTTAGTAATCTAACATCAAGCGCTGTGACAATGAAAACCACTTCTTACACATGTTCTAACAAGAATATGATTAACATTTTTGTGGATGTGGAAAATAACTTTTTTTTTTTTTAGGCAAACTGGCACTATTGCTGAATTTAGAATGACTTCCTTATGCACAAGATAGCAAAATGTGGATCATGTCTGCAAACAAATAGGAGAGTAAAATGTCATCCTTGTGCAACACAGAACAGCCGAGGGAGAGCCCCGCGGGTCATCAAACCGTCGTGTGATTGACAGTATCGGGGTTCATCCCCTACCCTGGGAGGACGCTTTGATTAAGTCGCACCCGCCTTGAAGGAGCAGGTTGAGGTCTGACTACCTCAACAAAAGCCAGACCCACGATTTCTGATAGATTGGACAACTTGCCTGATGCGGCCCACGGGAGGCAGCAGATAGAGCTTTTGTGTCCCTTTGTTTGGAACAAAAGCAAGCTCCAAGCCCACCGGGAAGCTAACTACTGCCCACACTACAGACACTGGCGTTACGGAAGCTGCAGAGGCAGAGTTCGAAAGCATCTCCTCATCCCCACCTTTTTCACCTTGCAAAACAGAATTCCCACTCCCATTCAGAGCATCACCAGCCTGGCCTCCCAGCCCAACCTCCTGAAAAAGGGGGGCCCGTGTTTCCAGTGCTGGTACAGCTCCTGCCCTTTCTTCTTCCACGGAACATTGATCCATACTTCTCCTTCCACATTCCTGAAGTAAAATCTGGTACCTCAGACCCACAGCACGGTTTTTCTCCACCTGTAGGCTTTTCCTCTCCTCTTGGCCGCTTCTTAGGTCTCCTCATTTTGCTCATCTTATTCCTCATCTCTTCACAAGACACCGTTAGATGTCTTTGAATCAAGTTTACCGTTTCGATCTTTGCATTTACGTCATCTGTTCTGTCGCACCTGTGTGCAGCTGCACCCCTCTCACTCAGCATCTGTGAGCGTCCCAGTGGCCTCCCAGGAATGCTCCTTTGTGTTACTTCACTTCTGAATTTAACATGACAGCGGCACTCTCAGCAAGCGAAGGGAACAGCAGGCTCATTTCTTTATCTTCGCTTCTTGTACCTTTGCACAGTGAAGTAACAGCGACGGCAGCTCAGAAAAATCTCAGAAATCTGGTAAGGAGCTGAATCACAAGGAAGTTTTCACAATGTTTAAGGAAATGTGGCATTCCGAGCTTTATTTGCTGTGAATGCGCTTTGTCATCGTTCCAAGACCACATGTCTAAAGACTAAGACAACAGAGAAGTCGAACAGCCATTGGACAATGGAGTCACCATCTGTGAACTTTGACAGATAATGCTTAACGTTGTTTGTAGAGTCAGAGGCAGTCTGGGGAACTATAGCTTAGAACTGGACACTGTAAAAAAGGAACCCTGTGAAAATCACAATAACGAATGAGGAATTGGTGGGTCCAGCAGCAAACCAGACACAAATGAAGAGCATATTCATGAACTGTAAGAAAAGTCAAGAAAAAGCTCCATTCGGAGGTGCAGAAAATACCAAAAAGAAAAAGAGAAGGCCCTCCCTGGTGGCCCAACAAGTTAGGACGCAGCACTGCAGGCTGGCCACAGCCGCTTCAGTGTGAATTCGATCCCCGCCTGCCCCGGAGGTGACCCACAGGGCGCGGCAGACCTCTCCTGACCCGCCCGCTGCTCCCCTCAGCAGTGGACTTCATCGATCTGCCTGTTCTGCTTCTCGCTCTGTCTCTGGTGAAGCCTCTCACCACCCCTGCACCTCTGGCTTCTACCCCAGTTCTATATGCAGAAATAAATCTTTAAAAGAAAGAGAGAGAGAGCGAAAGAGGAGGGGGGATAAAGACTTGGGGTGATGTGAAAAGTTACACAAATAACTCAAGTCCCAGGAGAGTGAAAAAGAATATTTCAAGTGACAATGGCTAGGGATTTTTCAGAATGTACAAAAGATGCCATTGTAAGAATCCTGTACTCTCAAGCTGGAGAAACACAGATCATTTAATGCACATTGTAAAAAAAATACTGAAAAAAGACAGACAAAACCTTAAGCACAGTCAGACAAGACAACACTGAGAGCTGAGTGTCTAACTGTGAGGATGGAAATTCCTGGGGAAGCAAGCACTGTCCGGGGCCCAGCCTCACACCCCTCCTTCCCATCCTGCATTCGCAAGTCAGGGCATCAGCGTCCCAGCTCTTGGCCAGCGGAAGCCAGAGCCGGTGGCTAAGTGCCCGCTCCCACCTCTGTGGCGGACAGTGTGGGTCCATTGGGGCCCCAGGCGTGTAGCCTCTGTCGCGCACACAGACGATCCGTTTGCAAATGCAGATGCAGCCTTGTGTTGCCTTTCTCTTGTCTGCGTCTGGTGGGCCACTCTCACTTCTCCAGAGTCACCCCCTCAAGAAAGTGCTTGCGTGCAGGCCCTGTTCCCCGGCTTTGGTGGCCCCTGACCAAGGCAGTAAATCCTAGGCTTCGTCCTAGAGAACAACTCGAAGATGGGATTCAGAAACCAGGCCCCTGGCCTGATCAGCTGGTACAAGGGGTGACACGGTTTCTGGTAAGAGGTGGTGTGATGACTTCCGCCATG